CAAGAGATATTTATAGTTGTGGACAATGTTGCACATGGTCACTCATGTATGCCAGGCATGCTCTTCTCTTTCTGCCTAGCTAATTTGGGTGTGTGATGGGGTGTACTCACCACACTGGCCCTGCAAGAGCTGAATTAGGACAAGTGGGGCCCCATCAGCCAGCTAGGCTGCAAATGGGGGAGATTTAGGCTGGCAGCAGCTAATTTGAGAGTAGATCACCTGTAGAGGCCTTGCCTGTCCCTCACAAAGCCAGAGAAGGGGCCTGCAGGGAAGTAATTGTCAGTCACTCCCTGGGTGGAGGGAGTTTGGGCTGGCAGACTCAGGAGAAGGTAGGAGAGAGCTCAGGGAAAGGCAGCAGGGGTCAGGAGGGAACAGACCTTGGCTTCTGATTAGAGGGTCCCTAAGATGGAACCTGGAGTAGAGGGTAGGCCCCACTACCAGTAGGTCCCCATTTCTCCCAGTGTCAGGTTCTTCATAGTCACAGGGAATGAGTGGTGGGTGTGATTGTCTCTGTTGGAGACTCTGCCCTGCTTCACCTCGTCCGCTGACCCTGTGGTCTTGATTCTGATGCTGCTGGAACAGATCAGAAGTCCTGTCCTGCACCAGAATTTTGCACAATCCTCCTAGTCTCTCATATACCATCACCGCACAGACACTGATCTGCCCAGGGGGCCTTGTGCTGCCCTGGGGCCCGTCACTGCCCAGCAGCCTGCCAGAGACCGTGAGAAACACAAGGAATCACTTCTTTCTAAACAAACGCTCAGTGCCCTGGGGAATGTTGTGGTGACAGCTGAGCCTTTGACATGCGTGACCAGAGGAGAAGAACTTGGCGATGCTGAGAGATGGAGGGACCCAAATCCTTGCCCGTTGGGCAATAAAAACGCTGAGTGGACAATCACTCCTCCTTCTCCCCCACCGCCCACGCAGTCAAGGGCAGGCATCCATTACTCTTCCCCTCCTCTCTGATTCCATGATGTGAAACTGGGTAAGTGGGATCCCTGTCCCTGTTTTTTCATACTGGTTGATGGCAGATCCATCATCGCTAGCTCAAGAGGAGAGAGACACTAGTGGAGTTCCCCCAACTCCTAATTATTGAGCCAGAGAGAAGTATCTGCTCTGCACTGAGAGAACGTCCCAGTCTCCTGGCAACTGGCGCTTAGAGCTACTGCGGAAAAAGGGGCCTGCAGGCTGCTGCCCTTTCTGGATGCCCCCAGACTCCTGCTGACAAAAATAGAGCATTGCAGGAAGACATCTGTGGGCAAACTCTTCATTGCCAAACAAAGACTTTAGGACCCTCCTGTTCTCCCCTGCTGGGTTAGGACGTTTTGGTGACTTACAAATGTGAAGGGTCAACCTGCAGTAAATTTACCAATAGGTATACTCTGGAAAAAACTCCTAGTGAATGAGCAGCTTTAGTTCCTGCATAAACTGTAAGGAGCGGTTCAGATGATACATGGCCCACCGGAGAAGCAGGTACAAAATCCAAGTCTCCAGGAGCAGTGCATTGGGGCTCCTGCAGGTTTATTGGAAGCCTCAAGGACCATTCCTGGAATTCCTCTTCCATTCTCAGCAGCCACTCTCCGATAACATACACGTGCGTGTGTGACGGACCCGAGGAGGAACAACGCTGCTGGTTTCTGCTGGTGCATACGCAGCTCATTGCTGCCTTACCTGGGAAAAACATCCAACCCAGAATTTGGAGAATTCTCATTGTTCTGCCTCTCGCTGGAGGGTGGTGGGACGTCAACTCCAGGTGAGTCTCTCTGCAGGAAAATCTTTATTTGTATTACTAGGAAGAACTGGGCCCCTTTTTCTTCAGTAGGACTTTTCAATGAAACTTTGTGGCTGCCTAACCACTTCCTTTGTTGTAAGGGTTCTCAGTGTCTCAGCTGCCTCACTTCTCTTGGGAAAGGCTGGGAGGGCAGTAACTCTGACTGAGGGCTTGTCTCGACTACAAAATTCAGTCAACTTGAGTTAAGTTGACATACAGCCACTGCAGTAATTAAAGCGATGGTTCATGTCCACACGTGCTCCTTCCATTGGTGCAAGCACATCGTCACCAGGAGCGCTTTCCACTGGCTGAAGTGGGGCATTGCGGGACACTGACAGCTGGAGCCCTGCAGCCCTGGGGCTGACAGTCTCAGTTGTAGGTACAGAGCTCACAGCTGCCTCCCCGGCTGTCAGGGCCAGAGCAGGGGCTCACAGCTATGAGCCTGGTGGACTGCTCAGGTTGTCAGCGCTGGGGGTGCGGGAAGGGCTTAAGCTGTAACCCCATTCAGAGCTGACAGCCAATGTAAGTAACGCAGTGTCTACACAGATATGGCATCACCCTAACTACATTGACATAAGCACTACGCCTCTTGTGGGGGAAAACATCCACTTAGCAGGAAATCAATCAATGGGGATACAGCTCCTCAGTCTGATAAATGATTGGTACAAATGAGTGCTTTCATCCCCAAAGCCTTATTTTTACTGAGTCTACAGCACACACACAAAATAGCAATAGTTGCGAGCACCCCAGATATAGTTACCCAAAGTCTGAGGTGGTGTCCAGTAGCAGGTCTCCAGCGGCCAGCCTTCCTCCTAGCCATGGGGAAGATTTGCTAATCTTTTTATACCTTACTTAAGGCAAATAACTCAGAACATCTCTAATAGGCTGACCATTTCTCTAGCAACAGTTTAAAAAAACACAACAACAAAAAATCCGTCATAATTTCTACTTATCCATAAAGCCGCTCTCAGCAAAAAACAAAACTTATAATCACAGACACCCAGAGCCAAGATCAGTTCTTCACACTCCCTTTCATTCCCATGACCCTGTCACTTTCTCACCCTCACAGACAAACACTGAAGCTGTGGGGCTATTTTGTCTGCTTTGGTTGTACCCAGGTCAAACTATTCCTGACTACGTGGTGTCCTTGCTTCCAGCTTATAGTGGCTAAGTGTACAAGATGGCTGCGGGTTATGTTAACATCCTGTTTCGTAACAGGAAAAGTCCAATGAAAGATTTCAGTTTGTTCAGTAAAATTCAAAATGAAATTTTTTACTTTGAATGGACATTTCAAAGGAAAAGAGAAATTTTAATTTTGCTTTTGCTTAAAATGTCCTTTTAATTAGATTTTTTTTCAGAAAAACCAAACAAATGACACTTTTAGTTGAACAAACTGTTGATTTGAAAATGAAAATTCTTGTTTTGAATCACTTTGAAGCTTCCTGTGGGAAATTTGGAGAAGTTCAAACAAAGTCTATGTTTGAAATTTTTCATGGGGAAAAATGTCTAGTCTGTGACCAGCACTGCTTTGCCCTACATCCACCTATCACATCCTGCCCATAGTTTAATTGTAAGCACTTTAGAGAAGGGACAGGCTCATATTTTGTATTTGTACAACTTTCAGTGCAACCGGGCCCTGATCTTGATTTGGGCTTCTGAGTGCTGCTGTACTAGAAATAATTAGCAAAGAAAAACTATATTTAGTGGCAGGTAATATTGCATCAGGACACCTCCCCTCCTCCCCCTGTAGAGCAAGGAAATAAAAAGATGTCTTTTGCATTCCTTTCCACTTTCACATTGCCTAGAACACTCTCAATAATGCACGTCGACACTCCATAAGGCTTTCACTTCCAAGTCCAACAGGTACCAAAGACGTGACATGAACCAAACTTTATCAAACTTGCAGCCTAATGCAAAACCTTAACAGAGACCTTGTATGCTTTTTTTTTAATCAGTTATATCAAGAGATCAGCATTGCTGACTGTCACATGATCCATTCACTTGAGAAGTTATTTTTAACACTGCTGAGGGGTTCTTAGTTTAAGAAACTAATTTAATCCCTCATGGCATGCAAATTATCTATCTAGATACTTTTACTGACCTCTGTGATGGGGTGGACTAGCTCTGGAGACACCCTGCTGAAGACCTCCTGGCCCTGCTTTGCCCTGCCCCCTCCAAAAAGCAGAGAAGTCCTCCAGGTGGCCTAGAGTGGCTGCAGAGAAGCAGCCAATCAGAGGGTCTGCTGGAGCAACCAATCAGGGGATAGAAGGGCCATAAAAAAGGAAGCAGCAGCAGGAGAGCAGTGTGTTGCCTGGAGCTTGAAGATGTAGGTCTGGGTTGCTGGAAGAGCAGCAGGACTGTGGACAGGCTGAGCTCAGGGGACTGAGCCCAGAACTTAGCCAGACCAGGCGAGGGTACCGTGCTGGTTTGGTTGAAGACTGAGCCTAAGCGAGGGTTGCTGTAAGGACACCAACTATGGGTGCTGAGATGGGCCCCTGTTGGGCTGTTAAAGAAGGCAGTGTCCCTGGGGAGGAAGACTTGGTGCTTGGGCCCCCTATCAGGACTGTGAGAAAGAGAGACTGTATACCCCGGAAGGGGGGATGGGGTGTGTGTGACTCGGCTGGAGGGCTGAGTCGCTGATACAACCAGTGGCCGGGGGACACTCGTGAGAGGCGGGTGCCACCCTGGTGTAAGAACCCAAAGAAAAGCAGGGCTCACACCTAACTAAAAAGTGGATGCCTGTGAGAAGAGGTAGGTGCTGCCCTGTGAAAAAACTGAGTAATTGCAGGCATGCGTTGCCCAGAAGGGGGCGCTCGCAAGAGATGGGTGCTGACTCTGTTGTAGTAAGTGAGCGTTTCAGACATTCATTAATTTACTCTCACAAAATCTTTGGGAAGTAGCAATACTTCTGTTTTGTAGATGAGGAACTGACACCCAGAGATAAGTGATTTTCCCATAGTCACAGAGGAAGTCTGTGGTAGACATGGGAATTGAATCTAGATCTTATACACCTTAGCTCAGCACCTCCAACGCAAGCCAGATCTTCTTTTTTTATTATGTTTTCTGTTTCCAGGAGCCTTTGTTTCCCACGCTTCACAGCAATGCATGAAATTCATGCCTGGCTCCAGATGTTTACTAACAAGTGCAGCAATGTTTAGTTGCTTTTCGACCCTCTCACCCTCACTGGGCTTTCTGTAGGAAGCCTGATTAACACTAGTCATGCAGTATAAATGATTGATGCCAGTGAGACATAATTTATTATAATCCATTGTTTCTGGATGGTCACAAATTCCCTTTGCAAGAAGAAAGAGGCTTAAATCTAGGGTAGTTCATGCTAGAAAAATAAATAAAACTTTCACGCCATCAATCCATACTGCAGGGTGAGGGAAAGACAGTGGTTAGAAGGCCCTCCTTGCATAACATATTGCATGCAAAAAAACGACATTAAAATAATATTAAGGTTGCAAAATCAAGCAATGAAAAGTTAGGGGATGCTGAAATTAAGGTGGTCTGTGCAATTGGAAGAAGTTTTTACTGAGCATGTACAAACACGGATTTTTCAAAGGCTTATAAATTGGCCAAATTTGACTGGATTTTCACAGCAAAAGGTATGTCCCTGAGACATGGGCCATGGTCTGCCAGCTTTCAAGTCCTGGCTCCAAAGCGTGTGGACACTACAGCTTCTCAAAGAAAAGAGAGAATTTTCATTAACATTGCAAGGCAGCATATTTATCCCTTGCCTTGTTCTTAGGACTATCTGAACTGTTTGGTTGAAGCTTAAAAAACAACAACAACAAACAAAACAAAAAAAATAATTCTGAGGGAGACACCTTGCTAAGAAAATTTAAAATTCAAGTTTGGCAAAGTTATAAGCAACCAAAATGGGGTTTTATAATGGGAAGTGTTGGGGAGGCAACCTTAATAAGACCATCCCCCCAATAATGCATAGAGACAACTCCAAGGCCCAGGTTCCTCCCCATGCACTTCTCCTCTCTGTAGATGATGATTGCCCTGTGTCCAACCAGTTCAAAATTCAGTTCCAGGGGTTTTAAGTTTCTGTATGAAAACAGGCTGGGATGTAGATGCTTGACCTGATTTGATTCCAGAGCTTGATAGATTTAATCACCAGGACACCTGTGAGCATGTAAATTATCTTTCCATCTATCTCTTGGATGCCTGGATCCGTTTCCGGTTTAACTTGCTGTTAGAGGGGGTGACAGGGGGAACTACCCTCTCTCCTGATATGGAGGAAACTCCTCTTGCAGGCAGGTTTGCTTCATGGTCCCGCTAAACTCCCTTTTTGCACCAGATGTATGATATTCAAACACAGATACAACGTTTCTCGCGTGTCCTGCTGACCAGATCCTGGGGAGTTTCATTGTCTGTAAGCCCAGCCGCTGGCTCTTTGAACCCGCTCCTCACAAGATAACAGCAACTGTTTAGTTCCATCAGGCCACCTGTCCATCAGACAAACCAACAGACTCCAGGTCCAGGCTGAGTGTGTCCGTAAGTCCTCTGCCTACAACAGCTGGCGGAGTTTGTACAGGTCAGATTGGCTTCTAAACCCTGTTGCTTCACATGTTGCCAGGTAGGGATCAAGCAGCTTGGATAAGGACCATGCAGCCCCCCATCACCACTCGGCCTCCTATCCAGGGTTAGTGTTTGGGTGGCTTCTTCACAGCGCTGTACAGGGTTTCCTCAGGGGGCTTGGCTGGGCGTGTTTTCTTGGGGCGCTGCTCTATGTTGGCATAGATGGGCTGCTGGTCGGGGTTGGAAATCGTCACTGTGACATAAGAAACCTCTTCTGAACCCTGAAATAAAAACCTCATTGATCAGAGGGAAGAAGCTAGAATAGGAGCCCAAGTAGCTGCGGCTGAGCAGACCCTGGCTTCATGAATTTCAGCGGGTCCCTTTAACCAAGTGACTTGTCTGGGCTGTGTATTGAGGACTTATCGCTGAGATCCCTAAAGTGTCTACGAATGGGTGCATTACCCTTTTCAGCCAAAGCAGCCTGGGTGCACTCAGGGAGCCCTGCCCTGCAGCTGAGCTATATAAACAGGAAAAGGAAGCAAGGGGCAGAACAGGGAACTGAAACCCATCTGCACTTTGGCTATCTGAGGCCCTAGGTTGCTAGTCTGACTAAGGTTCATACAGAGTAAAACAGATTTATTTGGGGTTTGGACCCCATTGGGAACTGGATGTCTGAGTGCTGGAGTCAGGAGCACTTCTTAAGCTGTTTTCAGTTAAGTCTGCAGCTTTTGGAGGATGTGGTTCAGACCTGGGTCCGTGTTTGCAGCAGGCTAGTGTGTCTGGCTCAACAAAACAGGGTGCTGAAGTCCCAAGCTGGCAGGGAAAACAGGCTCAGAGGTAGTCTCAGCATATCAGGTAGCAGCCCCAAGGGGGTCTCTGTGACCCAACCCGTCACACTCCCCTCCCCCGCAACTGTGATATTACACCTCCCTAGGACAGAATTTAAGAGGTGATGTTACCAGGACATATTATGATTTGCCTTACCAAATTTGACAGGTTGATTTTCTTGTCCCTCTGCACAGATGCTCCTGAAAGAGCTGGATGAGACAGAAAAGAGATTGAATTAGAGCCAAGTTACAGCAACAGGTAAGGGGGTAACTGCGGCTCTCACAGCTTTGCAGTTCTAAGTTGCAGGGCTGACCTGTAACTCTTTTTCAGGGGACACACACACTGAGCTCAGAAGACCAGAAATGTATCAAAACTGCAGTGCCCTAGTAAATCCAGCCATTGAGTCTAGGTTACCTCCCTGCTGCCCTGCCACTGATCCTAAAGGAAATGGGTCAATTCTCTAGGTGCTAACTGAGATCCGGCCAACTGCACCAGTCAGTGACCGCTTTCCATCACCTGCACAATACAGCCCTCTGAACCAAACTCCAGCTTCCCTTTAGACTCAGTGCGAACCTGGCCTACTGAACCAAACCAAACAGGGGCATGTCAGCATAAATCCATCCACTCAATACAACCAAAGTTGAAAAGATCCTTCGGTGCTAGCAAAAGCTCCCACGTGAAAATGGTCTCTTCTACAGGAATGGTCCAAAAAGCCACAGCTTACAACAGCTGCGCTCCATTGTCTGAGGCAATCAGCGTAGAGTGCTGTAATGTTTTTAGTATCAGCTGATGCTGTGGAACTGACTGACCCTGAAATGATCCATCGCTATCCACACACCGCCAGATCCTGGACTGATCAGAGCTCACCTGAGCTCTCAAGCCATGTAGTGACACAGTGAGTGAAAAGGAAGGAGACCTTGGTGTTTAGGGTCAGACTCTGATACCCTTACTTAGGGTAGCACCTTTACTCCACAGGTAGTCCCACTGATTTCAGTGATGGAGTAAGCAGCTACATAGCATGAGGGGTGTGTATGTGTGTATGCAGTTTAGAGCTGGGCAAATAACGGATAGAGGGGAGCTGGCAACTTCAAAACATTGAAATCACTTTTTTTCCCCCCCAGGGTAAATGAAACGTTTTGTTTAGATAAAATTGAAATGTTTCTCTTCAGTTGTGACCATTTTCAACATTTGATTGGTTTTTACATAATTTTTGAAACAAGAATTTGTTTCAAATTGAAAAACCCAAATATTTACTTTTGACATTTTAATATGAAATAGATCAGGTTTTTTTGGATGTGTAGGATTGTTTTTTTTCCCCCCTGAAACAATTCGACAGGACTTGGCAAAACGTTTTGGTGTTGCTGAGTCTGTATTTTTCACTGAAAAATAATTTTGGTGGTAAAACTTTGCCCAGCTCCAACAGAGATGTAGAACAAACACCAAAACCAGAGTTATTTGCAGTTTTGGACAATGTTGCACACGGGTCTCTCATGCATTTCAGACATGCTCTGTCGAGCTCAGCAGGGTGCAATAAGCACAGAAGTCACTTGATGGCAGGGGTGCTGGAACAATGCGTATCGTGGGTGCTGAGAGCCACTGAACCGAACTGTAAACCCTGTATATGATGGAAACCACTTCAAGCCAGGGGGTGCAGCAGTGCCCCTATTTCCAGCCCCTGTGCTTTGTGGAGTTCTGGACTTTCCCATTTGGGGAAGAGGGAGGGAAGGAGAGAAGCAGCAAGGATCAGAAACATGACTCATTTGAGGACACGTGCAGGATTTCACTTACCTTTTTTCCTCTTCTTGGACAGTCTTACCAACATCACAGCAGCGAGCAGAAACAAAATGAGAACCAGCAGGACGCATGGTACCAGGATGTAGACGATGTCTGAGTCTTGGGACCTGCTGGAAAAAGAGAGAATGTCTGTTTTCACACTTTCTCCTTCAACTGCTAATTCAGCCAGGAGCAACTGTTTGTTGTGCACCAGGCCCACAGGGTCCAGCAGATTAATATCCTAGTCCAGGCTAAATCTAACTCAGGTCACCTCTAAAATGGCACCTGTATCAAATACAAATGTGAGTAGCCAGCAAGATCGTGCAGTCTGTAGGAAGAGTCTGATGTAGCAGGCATGGTCTGTGCCTTGTGCATGTGGGGGAGCGAGACACGGGCCAGGGCTTGGTGCATTGGAGGAGATAAATGTCACTTATTTTAAACCTGCTCTAGCTGTAACAGCACCTTTATTCGTAGATAATATTACCCCCCCCCCCGTTGTCTGCCCAGGTCACAGAAACTTTTGAGGGTGAAACTTTGTCTGGATTCCCTTAGGTGGGTTGGTCACACCCAGCCAACCCTCCTGCGCAGCTGACACAGATGTGTAGCTGATGCTGGGTGGGGCAAGTTTAAGGATGTCCACAGATGCGTTAATCTGGTGATTTCCATGCCCCCCCGCCCCCGGCCCCCCGGCTCATTTATCATGCATAGGATTTTATCTGGACACTGTCTCACACTGCATGAGAATATGCATAGCCAGCTACTTAACTAACTTCATTTGTCCCTTTTTTTAGTCTTGTCTTTGAGATGAGCAGAAATGACCAACAGCCTCTCTAGTATAGCTGATAAATATGTACTTTAAAACTAACTTGTGGTGACTTTTTTGTTAATTCTTTGATATTTTCAGCTCCAGTCCTACAAATATTTTAAGCAAATACTTAACGTTCTAAACATGCTTAAAGTTAAGCAAGCACGTGGAAGGGTTTGCAGGATAAGGGCCTTAGACATTTTGGTTTCCTTTTAGATTTTTTCCTGGTGCCCGGGATTCTGTAGTTTTCATCCACTTTTAATTTTAGCGGATAGAAATTTTATTTTGTTGAAAGGAACAGTGTCAGCTCAAATTTGGCCCCAAATTTAGATGTTGTCAAAAAGTTTACAAAAACCTTAGACCAACAGAGATGTTTCATGCCTTGTTTTAAATTCCAGTGTAAATAAGTAAGGATGCCACTTGCAGCGCTGGCATCTGGCAACCCAAACCTGGCAGGATTATGCTAGTCAGTACATGGGCTGGAGTGGAACTAATTAGACGCAAAAGTGAAACTGACCAGTCGGCTTTCATTCTGGAAGATGCACAGAGCTCAAAAAGTGAACAAAATATATGGGGAAAAGATCATTCGATTTTAAAATTTCTTATTTTGAAATATTTTGGCTCTAGATCTTGCAGCTTGTCTACAGTTGGAGCTTGTTCAGCGCTGACTCGGCTGCACCCTTTGCGGACTCTCCTTGTCAGGAATAGATGGTATAGACCAGGATGTAGATGTCCGTGGGACTAGTCATGTGACTCAGATGGCTCATGTGCCTAGTGCTTGCAGGGGCAGACTCTCAGATCTGTTGCGGGAAGTGGGAGAAACTAGCTGTCAGGAGGGAAATGAATGAGGAAGGGGGACGGTTACAGCAGTATGACCACATGGCTTTCTCAGCAGGCACGGGTTTAGTGGTTTAATGGGGGAGGGTTGTAATCAGACCTGATAGAGCTAAGAACGTGCATAATTTTAAGCACAGGAGCAAGGAATCAGTGCGACGTCAGGGGGTATATACCCCCTTGTCTTCCTTCACAGTTCACTATTGCATTTTATATACCCCCTGACGTTGCACTGATTCCAGTGAGGCTGGCAGCCCATAGGGTATGTTTACTCTGCAGCTGGGAGGGATCCTTCCAGCCCGCACAGACCCCCTGGTGTAGTGGGAGCTCACCCTAGTGTGCTAAAAGTAGCTGTTGCCTAGACTTTGTGGTTTGGGCTGTCATCTCGCCTAGGGCTAGGTGTGAGCGTGAGAGCCCAGGCTCCAAATCCACACAGCTATTTTCAGCACATTATCGCAAGCCCCACTATCGCAAGTCTGGGTACCCAGGCTGGGAGCTCGCACCCAGCTGCAGTGTGGACGCACCCATAAAAGCGACCCTGGCTGGAGCATTGATACTCACCCTGAGGCAGTGGTGTCATGGTTAGTGGATATCCCTGGATAGAAGGTGGATATCCCTTTCTCAGCATTTGTCCCGAGGGAAGTAGATATTGAGGGAGAAGAAGCAGTTGGTTGCTCTGTCGCTGATGATGACGTTTCTGTTGAGGGTGGGGAAGAATTAGCTGTGGATAAAAACAGACTCAGTAAATCAGATTCCATGGGACGAAATGCCGTTTTCTCAATGGCACTAAAGATTCTTGTTCCTAAAAAAGAGGTTTAGGTTTCAAGAGACACAGGGGAGGGATTCTCCACTCTGCTGAGGCCCCCGCAGGCTGCTCCGATGGGGTGGAGGAGCCATGAAAGCCCTGCAGTCACCAGGGCAGAACGGCCCCAGCATAAGAACTGCATCAGGCTGCAACAAGTGGCCCTATGCTGCCTCCCACCACTGAAAACACTGGCATGGGGAATGCCAGGCTGGAGGGGGGGGGCATGTCTCTCTCTGTCACTTGGGGCCATAGAAACTCCCTGCTGCTGGGGGATGCAGAGTAGTCCATGGGAGCCCATGGGGACAGGTTGTGGGAAATTACAGCAGCCGCTCCTCTACCTAGTTCACGTGACAGCTCAGAACTGGAAAGCTGCCAGGGCAACTTAAAGCCATCTTTGCCCCCCTCCCCCTGGGGTGTGCCACCCACAGGCTGAGCACAGAATTTTAGCCACAGATTCTTCACTTCTGGCCAGACCATGCTTTGCTGGGTTAACACTACAGCAACAGAGTACACCCACCCTCGCTGTTCGCTTTGCCCCCCTCTCTCTGGCTGGTACCCCACAGCCGCGGCTGCAAGATGAAAGAAGCCGGGGAACGGGGCTTCAGCCGGCGAAAGCTGCCGGAATCGACAGCTTTTTAGCAACTGTGTAAACTGTCTCTGGTTTTCGCGCATGCCCTTTATCTGGTTTAAGTGCAGTGAGGAGTCTCTGCGTCCAGATGCTGAATCAGGGCAGAGTCCTTCGGCCTGGAAGAGACCCTGGTTACTGATTTCCCTGCCACAGTAGGTAAACAATGCCACTTTGCTACGCTCATTTCCGGGCGCACTGTCTGCACTGAGGGGGTGCAACCTGAGAGTATCAAAGATCACAAGTCAATCCATGAAGATTTCATGTCTGGAATTGGATTCCACTAATGGGAATTCTTTATGAAGGTGAGATTTGTGTATTTGGGTTGGGGTGAGGGGGCGAGGAACTAAAGGGCAGGGCCAATATTTATATTTCCCCTTAACCAGTGGGGTAGAGCATAAAGCTGGGGGGCTGGTCCCCACAAAACACCAGCCCTCTCCTAAGAACAGCCATAGACATCAGATCAATGGTCCATCTAGCCCAGTATCTGGTCTTCTGACAGTGACCAATGTCTGGTGCTTCAGAGGGAATGAACAGAACAGGTCATCACCAAGTGATCCATCCGCTGTCACCCATTCCCAGCTTCTGGCAAGTAGAGGCTAGGGACATCCAGAGCATGGGGTTGTATTCATGCCCATCCTGGCTAATAGCCATTGATGGACCTGTTCTCCATGAACTTATCTAATATTTTTTTAACCCTGTTATAGTGTTGACCTTCACCACATCATGTGTTGAGGAGTTCCACAGGTTGACACTGCTAGTCTTTTATTCACTTGGAACTTCCCCATTCCTGTCAGCCACAGTGATACCCAGACCCCACTGCAGCCAGCTCCTGTCCTCTCCCAGTTCAGGAGGAGACCCACAGGGCACTAACAGCCCCACCCTCGGGAACCAAAGCAGCCTCACCGTCAAGGCCCGCCGAGCGAGTAACTAGGAGGTCAGTGAGCAAACACGAGTCAGCAGGGTCCAGACGAGGGCTGGACACACACAAACTAGGATGAGAACGGCCCAGGGTGAAAGCAGAGCCTCTTCCCCCGTGGGACACGACCCAGGGCAGGAAGAAACTGCCCTGCCATGTTATTTACAGGTGCTGCCGGCTGGCCTCGGTGAGGGGCGCTCACCGTGTTCCCTGGGGCCAGCGCTGGGCAGGGCCCTAGGAAACTGGCACGGAGCTAAAATCGACTCTCCAGGGCAGCGCCTTGACGGACACCCCGCTGTCCCCCCACCCCCGCCTCGTGCTGCGGCCCGCAGAGCCCAAAGGCTTCGTGTGTCCGGAGCGCCGGCTGCGGGCCCCGCGCTCCCGCCTCACCTTGAAGAGCGGCGCCGGGATTTACCTGGGGAGACGGTGAGTTCCACAGTGGCCCTGGGGTCAAGACGCCCAGGCTTCCCCACCCCGCAGTGGTACGTGCCGGCGTCTGCCTGGGTCAGGTTCTCCACGGTCACGGTGAAGGCGAGCTCGGTGTGATTGTCCCGGATGGAGACTCTGCCCCGCCTCACCTCGGCCTCCGACCCACTGGTCTCCACGATGTGAAGCCCGTCGGAACAGCGCCACCTTCCTCCTTCCCGGCACCAGAACTTCGGATCATCCTCAAAGCCACCCCGGTACCGGCACCGCACAGCCACCGACCCGCCCGGGGGCCCGCGCACTGCCCCGGGGCCCGTCACCGCCCAGCAGCCTGCGAGAGACAGAGACGAGAGCCGGGGCGTCGTTTCCGTCGGAAGAAACACAAAATGCCCCCAGCGCCCCGGGGAATGTTGCGAGCCCCTGACCCGTGTGACCCGAGCCTGGCCACGCTGGGAGAGGGAGGGCCGCACCCCATGGCCTGCCGGGCTGTAGCCCCCCCCCAACAAGGACTCCACCCTCAGCCTCCCCAGAAAGGGGCCGGTTTCCTTTAACACCCCGCTCCGCTCAGAGTCCACGAGGGGAAACTGGGTCTGCGCGATCCCCGGTCCCCTTCCTTTGTACTGGCTCCGTCATCCCTAACTCCGGGGGAGAGACACCCACCCCGGGGGAGTTTCCCCTCCCCTAATCGCTGAGCCGGGGGCAGGGAGACGTATCCGCCCTGCCAGGAAGCGCAGAGGGCGGCTGGCGCTCAGAAAACGTGTTGGCTGTAAGTCTGGACACCCCGTAACCCCCCCGACAGAGCATCACGGGAAAAATGTGGGAGCAAGTGTAACCTTACACAGACTTCGTGGGCACAGAGAGAGAGAGACTGGGACAGTCCCGTTGTCCCCTTCTGGGCTCGGGAGTTTTTGGTAACTTACACATGTAAAGCACCAACCTGCGGTAGCTTTGCCAGCAGGGGATCTCCGCAAAAAAAGCTCCTATTGATCGGGCAGCGGCACAAACCGCGAGGAGCCGTTGAAATGACACACGCCCCGACCGAGAGGCAGGTACTTTGGCAAAGGCACAAAATCCCAGTCTCCGGGAGCGGCGCACTGCGGCTCCTACAGGCCCAGGGACCGTTCCTGGAATCCCTCCTCAGCAGCCGCTCCCCGACCACACACACACACGTGTGGGTGCGCGACGGGCCCCAGGAGCAACAACGCCGGCTGTTCCTGCGGGTGCATACGCAGCTCACTGCTGCCTTACCTGGGAAAAGCATCCAACCCAGAATGGGGAATAGCCTCATTGCTCTGCCTCTCCCCGCAGCCTGGTGGGACGTCGATTCCAGGTGAGTCTCTTTCTAGGAAAATCCTTCCTTTGTATTCCTAGGCAGCACCGGGTCCGGATTTCTCCTGTAGGCGTTTGCAATGAAACAGACTCTCTAACTAGTTCTTTCACTGCAAGGGTTCCTCTTATCTACGCTATCTCACTTCCCTCGGGAAGGACTAAGGGGGAAGTGGCTGGTTCCTACTCAGCGCACGGTGGTTTGATTGCTGTGGTCGCTGGGTTCCTGTTCACGAAAGCTCATGCTCAAATAAATTGGTTAGTCTCTAAGGTGCCACAAGTCCTCCTTTTCATTTTGCGAATACAGACTAACACGGCTGTTCCTCTGAAACCTGTTTTTGTCTGGTGATACTTGCATCATGACCGATTACAGCAGGGCCTGGCGGAAAATGGCAGCTGCAGTCGGAAGGAGTTCCTGAAATGTGTGTGGATCTCCATCATCAAACCCTTCATTTTAAACACGCCAATATTCCCAGCCTTCTCTTATTTGGCAGATCCTGGGCAGCCTGTAAACCAACTCCCTGCTGCCCAGTGACCCAGCCTAACCTTACAGAAAATGGACCCCCTCAGCAATAACAGCTGCAGAAAATGGACCCACCCAGTGGTACCCCTTGCCACTTAACGTTTTAACTTTGTTCTTAGATCTGGTTGAAAGGTTTAGTGTGGAAAGCTTTCCTGCTGCTGAACAATGTGTAACTGAAACGGAAAGCTTTGTGGGAAAATTCCAGTGAAAGGTGTGTGCCTTCCTGCAGGCAAATTTGAGATGATTTTTTATTTTATTTTTTGAATCAACATTTCAAAATGAAATGAAAATGTTAGTTTTGTTTTGACGTGGATTGCTTCCTTCAGGCTTTTTTGGGGGGAAACTGAAGTGAAACAATACTTTAAGTCAAATAAAAAAGACGATTCAAAATGAAAATTCTTGTTTTTAATAAGTTCAAAACTTCTGAGAAAACCTGAAAATTTTCAGCTGAAATTTTGAACAAAGATTTTTTTTTTTAAATTTCTCATAGGCAAAAATGTCTGTTTTCTCCAAAGCTCCACTTTGTCCTACCCCCAACTGTCGTGTCTCTTGTCCCTATTTAGATTGGAAACAGTTCACAGCAGGGGCAGTCTCTTATTTGGTATTTGTATAGCTCCCAGCACAACTGGGCCCTGATCTCTACTGAGCCCTCTTGGTATGGCAGAGCTAGACACAATTAGCAAGAACAGTGGCAGCCAAGGTTACACCCCAACACATGCCTCCATCCAAAACTGTTAACACATGGAAATAAAAAGCTAAGAGGAAAGACTTTTGGCATTCCTGTCCACGTTTGTATTGCCTGTAGAGCTGGGAGTTATGCATTTCAGCCCTTCAGGCTTCCACTTCCATTTCTAAACAACCAAAAGCAATATGTACCCAATGTCATCAAACTTGCACCCTAATGCAAAACCTTACCAGTGACCTCATATGCGTTTATATCAAGAGCTCAGATCCTCTGACTGTCACATGGCCCATGCACTTGGCAAGTTCCTTTTGCCTTAACACAGCTAGGTGCTTGTTAAAGTTTTGTGGTTGGAGATAGTGACTGGGGGCTTGTCTACACTTGAAAGGCTACAACAGCACCAATGCAGCTGTACCCCTGTAGCGCTTCAGTGTAGACACGACCTATCACCGACGGGAGGGGTTCTCCTGTCGAGGTAGTTATGACTAGAAAGTTACAAAATACTCTGTAGGCAAATGCCCCCTCTGCATAAGTGATCTTTGGGCAATTAGCATTTGAGGAGCAACAATGTGGCCAAAGGACAGAGCCCAGAGTGTCTTAGATTTCTTGCAAAATGGGTACATGTTTCATCAGGCCAGGAACAAATCCAATTATGCTCAAAGTTCATGTTCTGGATTTTAGATTTTGCCACTTCAATGAGAATTTTTTAAACTAAAGGTTTAAAACTCTTGTGAAACGGAAAACATCTGACAGCTCTTTAACTACAGAGCCGCGGTTTCTCTCTTGTCCTGCTGACCAGATCCTGGGGAGTTTCATTGTCTGTAAGCCCAGCCACTGGCTCTTTGAACTCCCTCCTCACAAGATAACAGCAACTGTTTAGTTCCATCAGGCCACCTGTCCATCAGACAAACCAACAGACTCCAGGTCCAGGCTGAGTGTGTCTGTAAGTCCTCTGCCTACAACAGCTGGCGGAGTTTGTACAGGTCAGATTGGCTTCTAAACCCTGCTGCTTCACATGTTGCCAGGTAGGGATCAAGCAGCTTGGATAAGGACCATGCAGCCCCCCATCACCACTCGGCCTCCTATCCAGGGTTAGTGTTTGGGTGGCTTCTTCACAGCACTGTACAGGGTTTCCTCAGGGGGCTTGGCTGGGCGTGTTTTCTTGGGGTGCTGCTCCATGTTGGCATAGATGGGCTGCTGGTCAGGGTTGGAAATCGTCACTGTGACATAAGAAACCTCTTCTGAACCCTGAAATAAAAACCTCATTGATCAGAGGGAAGAAGCTAGAATAGGAGCCCAAGTAGCTGCGGCTGAGCAGACCCTGGCTTCATGAACTTCAGAAGGTCCCTTTAACCAAGTGACTTGTCTGGGCTGTGTATTGAGGACTTATCTCTGAGATCCCTAAAGTGTCTATGAATGGGTGCATTACCCTTTTCAGCCAAAGCAGCCTGGGTGCACTCAGGGAGCCCTGCCCTGCAGCTGAGCTATATAAACAGGAAAAGGAAGCAAGGGCCAGAACAGGGAACTGAAACCCAACTGCACTTTGGCTATCCCAGGCACTAGGTCACTAGTCCAGGGGTCAGCAACCTTTGAGAAGTGGCGTGCCAAGTCTTCATTAATTTAAGGTTTCACGTGCCAGTAATAAATTTTACGTTTACAGGGGCCCCCGACAGAATCCCAGACTGGCAGCGGGCTGAGCGGGGCTGGTGGCCGGGACCCCGGCTGGCAGGCGCCGGCAGATGGAACCTGAGACCGGCAGCGGGCTGAGCGGGGCCAGTGGCTGGGACCCCGGCTGGCAGGTGCCAGCAGATGGAACCTGAGACCGGCAGCGGGCTGAGCGGGGCCGGTGGCCAGGACCCCGGCTGGCAGGTGCTGGCAGATGGAACCTGAGACCGGCAGCGGGCTGAGCGGGACCGGTGGCCAGGACCCCGGCTGGCAGGCGCCGGCAGATGGAACCTGAGACCGGCAGCGGGCTGAGCGGGGCCAGTGGCTGGGACCCCGGCTGGCAGGCGCCGGCAGATGGAACCTGAGACCGGCAGCGGGCTGAGCGGGACCGGTGGCCAGGACCCCGGCTGGCAGGCGCCGGCAGATGGAACCTGAGACCGGCAGCGGGCTGAGCGGGGCCAGTGGCTGGGACCCCGGCTGGCAGGCGCCGGCAGATGGAACCTGAGACCGGCAGCGGGCTGAGCGGGACCGGTGGCCAGGACCCCGGCTGGCAGGTGCCGGCAGATGGAACCTGAGACCGGCAGCAGGCTGAGTGGCTCAGCGCGCTGCCGGTCTGGGGTTCCGTCTGCTGCCCACGCTGCCGGTCTGGGGTCCTGGCCACTGGCCCTGCTGGCGGCTGGGAACATGGCTGGCAGGGGCCGGCGGACAGAACCCCAGGCCGGCTGAGCGGGGCCGGTGGCTGGGACACCGGCTGGCAGCAGAGTGCCACTAAAAATCAGCTTGCATGCCACAGGTTGCCGCCCCTCTGCGCTAGGCTGATCTGGGCCCTAGGTGTTTTGTTCTCAGTCAGGGCTCTGAGGTCAGGGCCTTGTGAATTGAGCTCCGTGGCTCCTCTCCTGAGCTGGTGTCTAGGGAAAAGGCCAGCTTCCCTCCTAGAACACTGAGGAAACTAGAAACCCGCCTGGCTGGGGTTAGTTGGGGGGCTTCTCAAAGGGGACGTGTTTGTCTGGTCGCTTGGCGTTGGCCTGCACAGCACGCAAAAGAATTGTTCATGTTTCTGCTATTGGTCCCTGTCCTGAGAAAGTGAAGGGAGGTGCAGGAGGCTCTGTGGTGTGTGGAGTGGCTCGAGTAGAGAGCAGGGGGAAGAGACTTTCTTCTAGAAAAACTGACTCGGTCACCCAGATCCCAACACCAGATTGCTTCCTATGCTGTGGGTCTACCCTGCAACTCTCACTCATGCAGGTAGCCCCATTGAAGTGCCTGGGACTATTTGTCTGACTTTGGGCTGCAGTCTTGAGTCCAGTTTTAAACAAGTCAAGTTTAACTTAAGTCTGCAGAGCTGGCAGGGAGGGGAGTTCTCTGCCTTGTTAAGTGTTTCCAGCTGAGCCCTGAGTGGGTGATCTTGACTTAGCTGCAGCCCTGAGCTCCTCATGACAGCTGTTGCAGTTTTGTCCTACCTGACAGTGGGGCTGGATTTCCGCATAATTGCAGTCAGAGTTAGGAAGGGTCTCAACACTGCTGTAAAATCCTGTTTGGTCAGTGGCTGCAGGAGAATCTATAACCGCATACTCTGGGCTGCCGCCTGCCGCATTGTTCCCAATTGCCTGAAACAAAGATGAGCTGAGTTCAGCGCAAGGAGATACACCAAGGGCTCCGTATCTTAGTCAAATTGACAATGTAGCTATTGGGAAGGCAGCTGGGGTGGAAATAAGCACCTCTTGTCATGGGATCTCCTCACCTGCTGAGGATGATTAAAAGCTGCAAGTGACTCAGAGCAAGAGATTTTAAAGGCAATGAATTTGCTTATATCCTAGTGTAATAAAGACACTTTCATAGATTCATAGATATTAAGGTCGGAAGGGACCATTATAATCATCTAGTCTGACCTCCTGCACAATGCAGGCCACAGAATCTCACCCACCCACTATCAGTTCCACTCTTCCTCACCACTTATTTCAATATTTCCAGTTCTGCAGTTACAGGCACAACAGATGGACTCTCAGGTCTTCCAGACAACAAGACAACAAACAACAATGAAGAAATGGAGTTACAGCCTGGGAACATGGACATGGGAACTAAGGGGTCAGCCGGTCCTGGGTCTAAAGATGTTGACTTTCAATGAGGCATGTGCATAGATTTGTACACACCTAACATAAACAAATACGGCTCTGCCATAGGAACTGGGTATTTTTATCCATTCACTCGTCACCGCAGTCTGACTGGGTTGGAGGGAAGGTGCGGCGCGTTAATGATGTCATAGCCATGCACATTTTCCAGCAGGGTGGTCCTAGAATCTCATCATGCTCAGAAAAAATAAAAATCCCTCCACCTGCTGGGGCTGATTGATGTGCAAAACTACATCTACAGCGTTGCACCGGACTTACACTTGCCAGGCTATTCGTGCCTCTACAAATAATCTATGGCGTGATTTGTGTGCACAGTTTGTGTAAGAGCTCATGCAAATGGGGCATGAAGATGTGCACAGCCTAAGGGTCTGGGGATTGCAGAAATCCAGCCCAGGATGATTAATATGTGGATAGAAATGGTACTGGTGGAAGACAAAAATCTCAAGGGGAGCCGTAACAGGGAGGAATGAAATTGACATAAGAGTCACACCAGCAACTCTACACCACCCAGGATTTCCTGTGTGCTGGGGTGACTTTCTGAAGGCCAGATATGCTGACTTTGGGGCCGCTTTGCTCTGGTAGAGGGGTGCAGCACTGTTCGAATGCAGGAGAGAATCTGGCCTGTTCATTTGTAGTGGAGTCACTCTGGATTTACACTGGTGTGAGTGGAGAATAGGTGTTTGTAGCTCCTGTTGCTTTATTTCCCATGAACTACTTATTCTAGTGGAAAGATACATGAACTTCATTCTAATTGTAATAAGCCACAATGGAGAACAGATCAATGAGCTACTGGTAAATGAAAGCATGGAACCAATGACACGCGCACAGTACGTGGCAAAAGTCCAGTTGTGGCTCATTGTTCTATTTTAGTTTTCCTGTTGCCAGTTTCCCTGTGTG